AGAAAGGTCCTGGTTCCCCCGGGACTCCAACCCAGAACCCTGCTGTCCTTGCATGGCTCATTCAGGGTTTATTTATTTATTTTATTTATTATTTAGTTTCATACCCTTTGTCCAGAATCTGGGATTTATGTTTTTTATTCATCAGCTCATTGGGGGTAAAGCAAAAGTTCTCGAAAAAAAATCCTTCTGCAACTCAACCAGATTTGGTTTAAAGATCCTCTGAAGCGTGGAGCAAAGGGAGCAAAGTCAGATATGGGTCACAAACATGAGCTCCTCTCTGTGGCGTCTTTGGTCCGTTCAGGTTTCTTCGCTGCTCTCCGTTCGACGAGTTCAAACTCTGGAAAGCTCAGGTGGACAACGGCTCCAACCGAGGCCGAGAGCGGCTCAACCTCCTGACCAGGAGCCTGTTGCTGCGCCGGACCAAGGACCAGCAGGACTCCACGGGGAGACCACTGGTAGGGGATCCGACCAGAAATCCAGAACTCTTTTTGGAGACCTCGGCCCACCTGTTTGGTTTCTCCTCTCTGGGAAAAATGGCGGATGGCTGAGGGGAAATGTTGGATGTTCCAGGTGTCTCTGCCCAGTCGGACCTGCGAGGTGCATCGGCTGAAGCTGTCGGAAGATGAACAGGCCGTGTACGACGTCGTGTTTGCCCGTTCCAGGTGAGCCCAGAGCTGAACACACACACAGAATGGCCTCTTTCTTTGCTCTTTATGCAGTTAGATGCTGCTGGGGATCCAGTAGGGTTGTTAAAAGTATCGATACCCCCCCTTCTCTCTGATTTATTTATTTATTTACGTTGTTTATGATCATTAACGTGACGTTAGCCTTGAATTGCTAGCTGCGGCTAATGGCTAATAAGGACACGCCAACATTAATCAAGTCCGTCTGGCTGCAGACTGCAGGAAGCCAAGGATGGATATCCAACTGCCCCACATCCAAGTCGGCCATTTTGATTAGGTCACCAATAGGAAGATCCCAGGCAAGAAAATCCTAATTGCTTCATGGCAATATAGACATTCATTTAAAAATAGTGAAATTAATATTGCAAACACTGAATTAAACTCGATACATAATATTATGTTAAAATTGTGTATGTTAAATAGGTTTGCACAATAAGTCCAAACAATTTTAGGCAAAAAATATTTATTTCTCACATCGAGAATGGTATCGATTATTTTCCGGAGTATCGGTATCGAGTTGAAAATGTTAGTATCGTGTCAACCCTAAGATCCAGTCATCTTTAACTATGTAAAATACAGATGGATATCAGCTGTTTACCCCATTCTAAGACATCCTGAACAGTCATTAAAGGCCACTAGAGCCAACAAAAATTAAACATTTTTTTTAAGGGAGGCGGGGGGGGGGGGGGGGGGGGGGTTGTTTGGGAAGTTACAGCCATCGATCTCCTAGAATCACAAATGCTTCATTTCTCCAAAAGAAAAACTACTCTTTACGAGGGTTTTTTAAAGTATATATATGTGCCTTGTGTTATATATTAAAAATGGAAGTGTTTTTTTTAAGTAAATGCAAAATTAAAAAGAAGACAATTGGGGATTAACTAAAATGTGGGTATGAAGAGTCAGTCAGTAACAAACAAAGTGGGGCTTAATAAATTAAAATGTCTTATTAAGTCTTCAAGTGTTTTTTAAACAGCTTTTCTACTTTAAGCTTCATGCTAAAGCTTTTGAAAAGTGACTTGGAACAGAATCTATTGAAAAATTTGACTGATGAGGTAAATACAACAAAGGTTTTCCTCCAGAACAGATTTAAATTAAAAGAAAAATGCTCCTTTTCTCCAGATCTACTCTGCAAAGCTACCTGAAGAGACACGAGGAGACGGACGCCAGCAAAAGAAACCCTTCCACCGTTAACCCTTTTGACAAAGGTGAGGGAGGATCTTCCTTATTTCATTGTCTTTAACTCATTGACTGCCAGTCATTTTCAGAACAGAGAGTCCCATACTGCCAGAGTTTTTTTGAGCATTTTGACTGATTTTTCAAGAGCCACAGAATAGTTTGTGCTATGACTATGTAAACACCGAACACACCAAAAGAAACAGTAGACTCTTTTCTTTCATCAGGAAAAAAATTTTGTTTCTACCTTATTCCATTCTTCCTGGACTTGCGTCTCACCGGCGACATGTTCTCTCATAGCGAACCGTTACCTTTTTCTTATTTGCCTACAGTCTATGCTCATCTCCCATCAAAAGTGGCACTGCCCCCTAGAGGGTCAATTTGCTAGTACATACTCTGTTTAGAAGCCTGATATTTACGGACAAGCTTTAGCAGATCGTCCCCCAGCCACTCTCGTTGAAAAACATAAAATATGTCTATAGACGTCTTTGGCAGCCAATGAGTTAAAAGAGCATCTTTACTGATCAGACTCAGAACACGATTCACGTCGGTGTCGGTGGTGTTCTGAATGAAAAAGGAAGCTGCTGTTTTCTATAAGCGAACTGCCTGTCTTCCAGTGGCTCAGGAGTTCGGCCTTTCTCAGCCCCCCCCGACCTCCTCGGCCTCCCAGCAGCCGTCCAGCGCCGTCCACATCCTGTCTCTGCTGCTGCGCCTCCGCCAGTGCTGCTGCCACCTGTCGCTGCTCAGGAAGGTAAATCCCAAACCAGGGACGTCCCGGTCCAGCTTCTTTCACTTCCGATTCAATCCCGATCCCGGCCTATCAGAGCATGTATTAAAGTTTAGGGATGTCCCGATCCAGCTTTTTGCACTTTTTATCAACCACACAAGCCTACTCCAAAACCCCTCGGCTCCCTCTGTCCTTCTCTCGCCCTCTCTCTCTCTCTTTCCCTCTCTCTCTCTCACCCCCAACGGGCCGAGGCAGATGGCCGCCCACCCTGAGCCATGGTTCTGCTCGAGGTTTCTGCCTGTTAAAAGGAAGTTTTTCCTCGCCTGTGTCGCCTAGTGCTTGCTCATGGTGGGAATTGTTGGGTTTCTGTAATTAACTTCAGAGTAGGGTCTGACCTGCTCTGTTTGGAAAGCGCTGTGAGACAACTGTTGTTGTGATGCGGCGCTATATAAATAATATTGAATTGGTTTCATGTGTCCCGTCCCCCCCCAGACGCTGGACTCCTCTGAGCTGCAGGGCGACGGGGTGGTGCTCTCCCTGGAGGAGCAGCTGAACGCCCTCTCTCTGGCCCCCGGCCCCCCGGCCCCCGGCCCCCCGGCCCCCGGCCCCTCGGCCCCCGGCCCCTCGGCCCCCGGCCCCCAGCCCGCAGACACGGTGGCGCTCAACGGCACCCGCTTCCCGTCACGGCTGTTCGAGGACGCCAGCGAAAGCACCAAGGTGACCGAAACGGCCGAAAAAGGCGTTTAGTCGTAGATGGAGGAACGCCTGAGATGCATTCATATATCATCGGTCTGAATTAATCTGGGGACTTATTTTATCAAACACACTGATTTTTTTAATCTATTTATTTTATTAGAAAATTTAAAATAAATTACACAATACATGTAATTACACTAAAACAAAGTTAACACACGAATAATATATATATATATATATATATATGTATTTGTGTGTGTATGTATGAATATGTGTATGTATTCAGACTTAGACTTGTACTTTATTGATCCCTCGGGAAGACTCCCTCAGGAAAGATATATGTATGTATGTCTTTCATGTGACATACACACACAATACTGATTTTGCAAATGTTATTTCTTTTTAGAAAATTCCAGAATACAAATTAAAAATGAATTATACAATCATGTAAACAAAGTAAATAATAATAATAACAAACTAATAATAACAAAATAACAGTAACAGTTCGGTTGCTTCTTTCCAAAATATCCAGATTTCTGCTCTGACCTCTCAGCTGATGGCAATCAGAGACCAGAGTGACAACCAGAGAAGGTAATTCACTCTCAGTTCATCCAGTCTTTCCAGTTTTTCCTGACCGAAGGTCTGACCGTATTGACTGGTGAGCGTTTCTTAACGGTTTCTGCCTAACACGGATCCCCTCAGTTCCTCATACCGAACTCACACTCTCACTGCCAGTCGCCCTAGAGGCCAGAACAAGTACATCCAAGTCGGCCATTTTGATTAGGTCACCAACAGGAAGATCCCAGGCTAAAAAAAAGTAATTGGCTCATGGCAATATAGACATTAATTTAAAAATAGTGAAATTAATCTTTAAAACACTGAATTAAACACTATACATAATATTATGTTAAAATAGTGGATGTTAAATAGGTTTGTACAATAAGTCCAAACAAGTTTAACCAAAAAATACTTATTTCTCACAATTATGAAGGCTTAGGGTCAGGGTTAGAGTCAGGGTTAGGGTTATGGTTAGATTTAGGACATCGTTTATCTTCCGATTTCGTATAGACAGTGAAGTTTCGTTTCCACCTCAGAAAGCTGCTAGTCACATGACCTAATCAAAATGGCCGACTTGGATGTGGGAGGAGTTGGATATCCAACCGAGGCTCCTACAGGCTGCAGCCAGAGCCCTTTTCTGACTCCTCCCCCCCCCCAGTGTGATCGTGTCCCAGTGGACCAGCATGCTGGGCATCGTGGGCGTCCACCTGCGCCGGATGGGCCTCCGCCACGCCGTCATCGACGGGTCCGTCAGCCCCAAACGCCGCATGGACCTGGTGGAGGAGTTCAACTCCAGCCCCAAAGGGCCCCAGGTGCCCCCCCCCCCCCGCCCAGCGGGCAGCAGCCTGTCATCCTTCAATCAAACTTAGACTTAAATGCCCTCGGTTGGTGGTTGACCGTTGCACATTATTTAAGATCTTTTTTCTTTTTCCCCCAAAGGTGATGCTGGTGTCTCTTTGTGCTGGAGGGGTTGGACTCAATCTTATTGGTGGGAATCACCTCTTCCTCATTGACATGCACTGGTAAGGTTCATATTACCATGTAGAAAAAGTATTTTTATTTTATTTATCTTTTTATTCCTCTTTCTATGCTTTCTTTTCAGATTCTATCAGATGTCATTAGTTTTTTTCTAACAAAATCCTGTGAATAGTGTTAATTTTCTCTATTTCTACTTTAGTTGGCCATACACAGTTGTCTGTGATGTTTTAGTGTGTAATTTGTTATGTTGTGCCTTGTGTACAGTCACTATGTTTTGTGTAAAAGCTTAACTGGGGACAGGCATTGAGAATTAGCCTTAGCTAAAATGTTGTAGTGTGTGACATGATTCATGAGACATACTTGTCCCTATCAAATAAACGAATAAATAAATAAATCGATAATTATATATTAAAAGTCTGCACCGATCAGAAAAAATATTATTTTTAAAAATGTGTATTCTGTATGTGAACTAACTTGAGATTATCTCACATAATGTTATTGGTGTTATTTATGCCTGAAAGCCATCAAAACTTCAAAGAGCAAATATAACACAAGGACAATAAAAGCAGGTTGTCTTTTGTCTTTTTTTAACCTGTGGTCCGTGAACTCATCGACAGGAACCCGGCCTTAGAGGATCAGGCCTGTGACCGGATCTACAGGGTTGGACAGCAGAAAGATGTGACCATCCACAGGTAACCGATAAAATAAAATGGCAACCAAAGCTGTCGTCTGATTTCTTTGTCATATGAGCAGGAGGAACCTGAATGCATCGTTGGTTGTTTGCACTGTTGAAGCATGTCATGCCTTTCTAAAATGTCACATGTATCCATTTTTCTGCATGCGTGTGACCAGGTTTGTGTGCGAGGGCACGGTGGAGGAGAAGATTTCCACCCTCCAGGCAAAGAAGAAAGAGCTGGCCCAGAATGTGCTCTCAGGAACGGGAAGCACCGTCTCCAAACTCTCCCTGGCTGACCTCAAAATCATTTTTGGTGTGTGAGAGGAGAGTAAAGGCTGCCGACATGCTGCTAACACCAAAACCACCTGTGCATTTATTGGTGTTTGTATGCATAACACCAAAACCACCTGTGCATTCATTGGTGTTTAATCAAATCAAATATCTTGAAATAACTGAGATTGAGGTATTTAATGAATTAAATGAATGTCACTAGTTAGTGTGCCCTCATTTTGCTTCTCAAAGGCTACAAGTTACCAAATGACCATCAGTTTGTGTCAGTATCCTGTTACAGTATTACTTTAATCCATACGTTTATGTTTCATGTGCATTTTCTTTTTATGCCTTTTATATTTCAGGTTCTTTAAATCCTGAATGATGCTTTTCTATTGTTTTATGATGTCACACTACGTGGAAAATATCTGGAATAATGTTCAGATATTTTTAGACTTTGGGGATTTCCTCCCATCTATGTTTTTATTTCAATTTGTGGCGCTTAATTGAATTTATTAACTTTAGAAGTACTTCTTTTTATGTTTTTTGTGTGTTGTCTTGTGTGAGTTGGATTGGATGCGTTCTGTATGAGATCATTTCTTCTGTCAAATTAAATTGATCAAAATGTGTCCTAAGTCCGTTTTAGTTGGTTGTCTGAAATTTAATTAAGTTAATTCATTTATCACTTTACAAAATGCTGTACCTGAACTCACCGCCTAAATTAAGAACTCTTGTTGCATTTAGGGAAAATCTGAATTTTGAAAGTTTACATTTTACCTAATGAGGCAATTAGATAGAATGGTGTCGACAATTAAGACAGAGAGTGGTGTTGTGCAGATACATCATTGTATTTTATTATTTCCGTATCTATTTGGTTTTGTAATGAATTCGACCATAGATGTATTGAAAGTGTCATACAATTTATTTCTACGCCAGACAGTTGATTATGACAATAAACCATCTTGCATTGATTTGTCACATGTCTCTCTATTATTTGATTTTCGGATGTAGCACCAGATTTTGACACATTTTACAGCAGCAAAGCGACATTGCTAACCGTCGTGTTTATAGTTTCCGACCAGCGCCCGGCCTTTGAACGCCTCACGGGGAGCATGGGCGGTAGCGGGGTTCGAGCCTCCGCCCCGCAGACACCAGCGTCCCCAGAACCGTCAACACGGCGGCCTTTCGCAGCCCTCCGTGCCCCGTAACGCCACCGTAACTGGCCGCGCAATCCAGCAGCCATGGCGGCTGAAGCCAACAAGGTCGAGCCGGCGGACAGCGAGCAGGACGAGGAGGAAGATGTGTACGAGGTGGAGAGGATCATTGACATGCGGATGGAGGAGGTAAAGCTAACCGCTAAGCTAACTGCTAAGCTAACCGCTAAGCTAACCGCCCGGCTAGCTTAGCTGGGCAAACATGGCTGTCTTTTTTTTTTTTTTTTACACTCACGACGCATTGCCCACCAACAACAATCGTCAGACACGCCCGGTGAAGAAAACCTCACCTTAAAAATAGATATTTGCACGCAGCAGCTCGCTTTTTGGTCACTTTAGGCGTGTGTTTGTGCTGCTTTCGGCCGCTCATCCCTGCACAACTTGTCCCATGATGTCCGTTTTCCTCTCCCCTGCTGGGGCCAAGGACGGAGGCTCCCCGGGCTGGCCGTGTTCTCTAACCCTAACCCTAACCCTAACCCTGCCCGGTGGCACGTTTTGGTCATTTCTGGAGACGTGCACGCAACGCATAGTGTCATTTTTTCCCCCGTCTAAAAACGCAGGGAAACGTTATTTGGCCATCTTATTTGGAGCCACGTCAGCTAACTCGTTAGCTTTGTTTTGGTTGTAATTGTATCTACGTCCATTGATGGACGTAGTTACAAGACAACTGTCTTTATTTGCCTTCTGTAATCAGAATATTGACTCGTTTTGTAGCGTGGCTCAAAGGTTTACCACACATTTAATTTTACTTTAAGTCCTGTAATAGTTTTACTACCAGAAAGTCTAAAATAAAACTGCTATGTGACCATTTGAAAGACTTTATTAGTCTTTTGTTAACCGTCATTTTTAAGGTTGTATAATTATAATTCATTTATGATATTGTTATTGTATTTATGCCTATGACTTGAGACACGTTATTAGGTCTAAAAGCTGCTCAGAGGAAGAATAATGACTGGAAATGTCCTCCACCCGGTAACAATATTGTCTTATTTTGAGTCACTGATATTGCTAATAACTATAAAGTTCTCTCAAAGTCAAATGTGACTGTGCAACCGTGGTGCAAAACCGTTTATTCTCCAGCTGCAAAGAAGCTCAGACATCCAGTTTTATGCTTCACATTTATACCTTTGAGCAGGTTAAATTATTCAGCAGTTAATATAAAAAAAATATTAGCAAAATACCTGGAAATTTCAGGAAATGGATGGATTCTCCGGTTGGTTTCCGATTTGCATGCCAGACCTATAAGTTTAGGTCCTGGAAAAAAAACCCAAATCAATCTTATCTGGGCATGATTCTTATAAAGAGGTTGTAGAGTCATTATTACCTTTTTTGGGATTTGTGAAAATGTAGAAAAGTTCATGTTTTATGTATGCTGATCATCTATGAATGCAGAAGGACCAGTTCACATGGTCCTTATGGGGAAAATGACTTTTTTCCTAAATCATAAAATGTGTTTTGAGAGTCTGGACCCTCTTTAGAACAACAATGTCCAGATTTGAGCTGTTTAACTACAGCGGTTTCCACGCAGGACGTCGTCTTACAGGATCAGAATGTGAGAAAAAGTAGTAAAACCGGCCTTTTATTCATTTTCATGGAACACAAAATGCTTTCACAAATTCTAAATGAGCTATTCATGAATCTGCAGCTTCTTTAGAATAATTATGTCCAGATTGGAGCAGTTTAGCTTTTGTAGTTTTCACACAGGGCTTAAACTTCTGTGATGATTGTGCAGAAAAATATGGGAATTTGTTAATCAGAACTATTGGTAATTGCTTAGTTTTCTGCTTTCGCATCCAAATAGAAGCTGAAAATATTTAAAATCATTTGTACTTCGTTGAAATGTTTTCCAGTCTTGTGCCTTTATAATGAGCAGTAATCTCTCCTCCTTTACGTTTTTCCCCTTTATTTCTCATCATCTGGTCTCTCCAGCTTTAAGCGTGTTTCTTTAATCATTTTTTTATCGGTTTTCTTTTTTTTTGTATTCAAATTTGGTATAAAGTTTACCATTTTACTAGTCTAAATAATGCTGTCGGCCTTATTTAGATGCATTTAACCGCGAATTCAGGATTGTGTTTGCGAAAGAAAAATGGAAGTGGTTGATATCTGGCTGCTTTTTTTGTGTGTTTTATTTTTGTTTTTGTTTTTTACTCCCTGTGGAGCAAAACACTACATGTGTAAATCCTCTCTGTGTCTTCAGGGGGAAGTGCTCTACAGAGTCCGCTGGAAGAATTACTGCTCGGACGACGACACCTGGGAGCCGGAGGCTCATTTAGAGGACTGTCGGGAGGTCCTGCTGGCCTTTAAGAAACAGCAGGTCGACGCCAAGGCCAAAAAAGAAGCCGAGTCCAAGAAGAGCGTGGTGAGTGGCCTGTGTTTTGCTCAGAAAATGAGTTTAACCACCTCGATACCGGACATTTTAAAGCCATTTACAGCGTACCAGAGAAAGCGAAAAGCTGATTTGAAACATGTTAGTGGTTGGATCAGCAACGTTACATTTTCGGTGGTCACAATAACTTTTATTTATTTTATTTTTTTACAAAAGATGACGGCAAATTTAGGTGTGCAGCCTATTTGATGCACATCAGCAACTCAAGGTCTCTTGCAAAGGCATTAAGAATAAATCAATAAATCCCAAAACAGTTTATCTGTTTAATTAGATAGAATTAAACCTGAGGACAAATGTGACTAAAGAAGGAAAAAAAATGATTTTTATTTGAACTTAAATGAGTCTGGAGTTGCAGACTTTTACTCCCTCTGTGTGAATCTAATCTCCCTCCGATTGGTCTTAGCTAGCTCCCGGTTACAGTCTGAAAGCGGCTGCTAAAGTTCCGGTCTGAGTCCAATAAAACTGAAAGATTCATAACCTGGGATCTCCCTCTGCCTCATCCCGACTCGACCACATTGGAAGTCAAAGCTCTTAAAGCTGTAAAAAGCTCAGGTGCTCCCTTAGTTTGGTGTTTTATTTATTTATTTATTTGTTTATTTGATAGGGACAAGTATGTTTCATGAATCATGTCACACACTACAACATTTTAGCTAAGGCTAATTCTCAATGCCTGTCCCCAGTTAGCCTTTTACACAAAACACAGTGACTGTACACAAGGCACAACAGAACTAATTACACACTAAAACATCACAGATACAAGATCAGGTCGGTTAGATTATTAATGTTCACATGTCTGACCTCTCAATAAAAAGTCTTTAAGGTTATGTTTAAAAAGGACCCAGTGTCTACCAGACCTCATTTCTCCTCTTTTTGTCCAGAAGCTCCCGACGAAGAGCGACGTGTTCGACGCCGACTCTGAGAGCGACAGCGACAAAGACCCTCCGACGGACGCGCCCCTCAAGAAGAAGAAGAAGAAGAAGAACGCCCCGGAGGAAGAGGAGGAGGAGGAGGAGCAGCAAGCCTCAAAGGAGAAGAAGAAGAAGAAGAAAGACAAGCACAAAGAGGACCCGCGTCCCCTCCCCGCCCCGGAGACCGACGAAGAGGAGGAGAGAGGGGCCTCCCCCCCCAAGGAGAAAAAGACCGAAAGCAAAAAGCGCCAACTGGAGTCTGAGGAGGAGGACGACGAAGAGCCGGTCCCCTCCAAAAGACACCGGAAGGAAAAGGGAAAAGATGGAGGGAAGCACAAGAAGGAGAAGGCGGAGGAGGGAAAGAAAAGGAAGGTGAAGAGGGAGCGGAAAGTGGAAAGCTCTGAGGACGAGACACCGCCCGCCCCCCCCCTGGAGGAGGAGCTGAGCGAGGGGGGGGCGGAGGTCCAGGCGGAGGTCTGCGTTGCCGCGGCAACGGCCTCGTCGGAGACGCCCAAACCCGGAGACAAGCCGGTTCTGGACGACAAGGCCAAGCAGAAACGAGGGAAGTGGGAGGTGAAACTGCAGGGCATCAAGGACCTGATCCACGACAAGAGGCCCAAGAAGCCCGACGGGGGTGGGGGGGGCCCCCAGAAGCCCCGGGGGCCCCCCCCCCCGCCCCCGGGAGGACGCCGCCCTGCAGTCGGACTCCAGCGACAGCCCCTCGCTGCACAAAAAGGCCAAGATCAAAGGCGCCGACGGCCCGCAGAAAGCCCCGCCCCCTTCCTCTTCCTCTTTATCCTCATCCTCCTCTTCCTCGGCCGCCGCCCTCGCTTTGGCGGGCCCCGGCCGGACCAAAGAGGAGGAGCCCCCCCCCAGAGACGAGCCCCCGGGGCCCAAAGACGCCGGCGGCTCCACCAACCTGTTCGAGAAGTTCCTGCTGAACTGCGAGGCCAAGGACCGGGCGCCCAGAAAGGCCCCCCCCCACCAGACACCCGCCGAGAAGAGCAGCAGCAAACCCACAAAGGTGCGTCCGGGGACGTCCGGATTCGGCTTTTTTCCCACTTCTGATCCGATCCCGGCCTATCAGAACATGTGTTAAAGTTTAAAGTTATTTGTCTACTTACTTAGTTGTCAGACTCATGTTGAACAGGGATTTACTCTAACAACTTAACTCATTGGCTGCCAAAGACGTCTATAGACGTCTTTTATGTTTTTTTTAACGAGAGTGGCTGGGGGACGATCTGCTAAAGCTTGTCCGTAAATATCAGGCTTCTAGACAGAGTATGTAGTAACAAATTGACCCTCTAGGGGGCAGTGCCACTTTTGATGAGAGATGAGCATAGACTGTAGGCAAATAAGAAAAAGCTAACGGTTCGCTATGAGAGAACATGTCGCCGGTGAGACGCAAGTCGAGGAAGAACAGAATAAGGTAGAAACACATTTTTTTTCCTGATGAAAGAAGAGAGTCTACTCTTTCTTTTGGTGTGTTCGGTTTTTACATAGTCATAACATAAACTATTCTGTGGCTCTTGAAAAATCAGTCAAAATGCTCAAAAAACTCTGGCAGTATGGGACTCTGTTCTGAAAATGGCTGGCAGTCAATGAGTTATTTATCTACTTACTTAGTTGTCAGACTCATGTTGAACAGGGATTTACTCTGACAACAACTTAATGGTTAGGACACAGACCTGTGGGTTAGAGATGCTAATGCTAATGCTAATGCTCGTGTGGGATCGGACTTTAAAAAACTGGATCTGGAGTCTGGATCTGCCGGCCGATATGCAGTTTTTTGCAAATATCGGCAGTCGACCCGATCCCGATATCGGATCGGGACCAGCCTAGATGTGTCTCCATCCTCCAGCAGCCCTCTGAGCCCTTTTACCCTTAAAAGATAAAAATAAAAAAAATAACGAAAGCGTTTCCCTCTCCTCTCGCCTTTAGGTAATCGGAAAGACCGATAAGATCTCCAAAGCAACCAAAGACTCCCCCGGACAGAAGACGGAGCTGGAGAAGACTGACCGGGCCAAGCCAGACGGTGGGATATTATTATTTTTATTTTATTTATTTTTTCCCAAAATGTTTAATTTAGATTTAATATCGCGATATGAACAAATCATTTTTGTGTCTTTTTTTTTTTTGTATTTTCTGGAATATTACAAATGCAATAAACAAAATAAACAGCTTATCAGTCTTAGATGCTGAAACAAAAAGCTGGTGTTTTTTGTTTTAGTAGCTACGTTCCTTCTACATTGTTTGTGTTACTCTGTTGTTCATCAGACTTCAAATACCCAAAATTACCTCCATGCAGCCGAACCTCTCAATGATGTTGTTCCTGTTCTCACTCATTTTAAAGTCTTGGAAGGTTTTATGGTTTGGCTGGAGAAATAATTTGTTGCAAACTTTTATGATTTTTTTTTAAAGCGTCGGCTTACTGAACGTCTCATTTATTTATAATCATATTTTACATCAAGAATAAAATCGAAAAATTGCCCAGTATGAAACCCCTCTGAAAATGCCTCCTGATGCCATCTACTAGTTGATACTGGCTCATTTCTAATGGGGGAAAAATGGTGGAAAACGGATGGATAAAGGCCCGTCCAGGACTTCTTATCTAATCCGGAGACTTCCCCCCTCCAGGCCCTTTTCAACGATGTCGTCCTTTCCTGGGCGGCATTTTCACTTGATTCCTGTTCAGAATTCCCGTCAATAGAGTTCTTGCTCATTTTTATAGTCTTGGAAGGTTTTACGGTTTGGCTGGAGAAATGACTTGTTGCAAACTTTGATGATTTTTTTTTTTTATGGCTTATCGAACGTCTCATTTATAATCATAGAGAAATTTTACATAAAGAATAAAATTGAAAAATCGGCCAGTCCTACGGTGGGAATGAAACCCCTCTGAAAATACCTCCTGATGCCATTCACTAGTTGATACTGGCTCATTTCCACTGTCCTTCTCTAGCCCTCTCTCTCTTGCCCTCTCACCCCAAACCGGCCGAGGCAGATGGCCGGCCCACCCTGAGCCATGGTTCTGCTCCAGGTTTCTGCCTGTTAAAATGAAGTTTTTCCTTGCCTGTGTCGCCTAGTGCTTGCTCATGGTGGGAATTGTTGGGTTTCTGTAATTATCTTCAGAGTCCGGTCTGACCTGCTCTGTTTGGAAAGCGCTGTGAGACGACTGTTGTTGTGATGTGGCGCTATATAAATAAAATTGAATTGAATTTCTAATGGGGGAAATGGTGGAAAACAGACAGACGGAGGCGAGTCCAGGACTTCTTTTCTAATCCGGAGATTTCCCCCCTCCAGTCCCCAGGTCCGGCCAGAGCCACGGCTTCAGCCTGGACAGCGAGGAGCGGGAGGAGGAGAAGCCGCGGGAGGAGGCGCCGCGCCCGGGGTGGGAGAAGAAAACCCCCACAGACGAGCGGAGGAAGAGGAGGGAGGACAGCGAGCCCCGGCTCTTCATCGCCTGTGATGATGGTCAGGACCAGCCCGAGAGCACAGACAAATCCGGTGGGTCTGGTTTAGCGTCCGACTCGTCAAAGACGTCCTAAAGTAGGGCTGTCACGATACTAAAATGTTCAACTCGATACAGATGCTCAGGAAAATACTTTATACTCTATAACATTTTCGATACCACAAGGCAAGGCATTTTTATTTATATAGCGCAATTCATACCAAGCGGCAACTCAATGTGCTTTACATTAAGACAAGACATTTTAAATAAAAGAACAGCATAAAACAGCATAAAAAAAACTAACAAACAAAAAAATCTTTTTAAAAAGGTTAAAACACAGTTAAAAGCAGGAACAAAGGAAAAAGCAATATGTTTGTTACAGCTCCTGTGCTTTTGCAAGGATAAAAACAAAGACCCCAAAATTTAACTGAATTTTGACAGGTTAATGTCTTTGGTTTCAAACTGACCTGTTACTGATGTTATGGTGGCCGGTTGCCCACATTAATGACCCTAATCCTAACCCTAACCCTGACCCTAACGCTTCATAATTGTTAGAAATAGATATTTTTTGGTTAAACTTGTTTGGACTTATTGTACAAACCTATTTAACATACACTATTTTAACATAATATTATGGATACAGTTTAATTCAGCGTTTGAAAGATTAATTTCACTACTTTTAAATTAATGTCTATATTGCCATGAGGCATTACTATTTTCTTGCCTGGGATTTTCCTTTTGGTGACGTAATCAAAATGGCCGATTTGGATGTGGGTGGAGTCGGATATGTACTTGATTAATGGTAGCATGTTATTATTAGCCATTAGCCGCGGCTAGCAGTTCAAGGCTAACGTCTTGTTAATGATCATAAACAACGTAAATAAATACATAAATAAATCAGAGAGGCGCAGCGACCGGATACAACATTTTAGTACCGATACTTTTGACAACCCTATTCTAAAGTCGGTATTTTCCCCCTTTAGCTGGTCGTAACTCTGCTTTGTGTCTCGCTCAGATAAGGGCCAGGCCACCTTGAGTCTGGGAATGGACCTCAACCTGGACTGGATGACGCTGGACGACTTCCAGAAGCATCTCAACGGGGAGGACGAGATCTTGTCGGGTCCGCCGTTGTCCCCCAGTGAGTGTCCCTCTTTAGAGGAATCAGCCATCAAACTCGCTCACTCGCAGGGTTTTTATTTCAACCAGCCGTCCTCTGTGTTACTCCCTTGTATTTTTATTATTATTTTGCTATTTTTATTGTTTATATTTATGCACCTTTTCCTCCTTGTTTGCACCTTCTTAATCACTAAACCGATGTGTGACCAGTGAATTTCTCCACTGTGAGATCAATGAAGCTTATCTTATCTTATAACCTTTAGTTCAGTTTGTGGTATGTTTAAGCTGCTTTTAGAAATAAATATTAGAATAAAAGCTCCACTCTCTCTGAAGACTGACGTTTATTTGTTTTGTTGTGGGTTTGAAAGGTAAAGACTGGCTCACTTTGGGAAATGCAAAGAAAACAGTTAAAGCAGAATATATATATATATATATATATATATATAAAATAATTCTGACTTTATTTGAGGGAGATTATTTTCATCTCTCGTCTTTTGTTTTAGCTCTAATCTTCGGCTTTGTGTTCATCAGGTGAGCTGCGAGACGCTGTGAAAAGTGGCGACTACATGTCTGTTAAACTGGCTCTAAACTCCAAAGAGGACTACAATCTTGAGCAAGAGGTATGTGCTCATGCCTCCAGATTGTTTTTGTACATTTATATACATCTCCAGCCCATTTTCTTTTCTGCTTTGTTTCATCAATCGTCTCCACGCTTCAATCTAACTGGAGGCTTTCTGAGACCTTATTTCCGAGACTAAAGCACATTTTAAAGCTTGCACCTTGGTTGCCCCGTGTGTGTTTCTGCGTGTTTGTGGGTGCGAATGTTGCCCAGAAAGATGAAAGAATATATTTTAGTTTGCGTCTGATAGACACAAGTCAGTGGGGAAAAAACACACCCATAAGAGTGAACTGTTTTAAAAAATGCTCTGATTTTGTGAGGGGAGGAGCAGCATCTGGATATGTGTCCTCAAAACAAACAGGAAGGGGTTCCCAAAGGTTTTAACTTAAACATTTAGCTCAGAAACTATTTCTTATGATCTGTTTTAGGCTATTTATTCGCAGGATCTTACAAAATGATCAGTCTCTTAGTTGTTATAACTCATAACAGGTGGCACAAATTAGTCTCTAAAGCAATAATTCATTCGCTTTTAGATGTTTTGTGTCAAAAGATTACAAAATTGTTCTCTCTGGTCATATATTGAAGCATAGATCTCAGTAGGTATGTATTTTCCTAACTTTGCAAACAAGTCTTCAAGATCTACGTCTGAAGACTTTTTAAGTCTCAAATGTCTTCTTAAAAATCAACACCTCAAGATGTTTCTTACAACTCCAAAACACTTCGTCTTCAACGACAACTCCAGGTAAGAATTTGACTTCCTCTTTTTCTGAAAAATATATTTAAATGTGACATTTTTGTAAATCTTGTAAAACTCTAATATTTAGTCTTAATGATTGATGACATTTGGTTGCATTTCTTGTAGAAGAACCGGCTCTTTGATGGGGTCTAAAGCTAAATTATGTTTATGTAGATTGTTTCATAGGTCATCAAGAGTTAGTTACCAGTTAGTTATGGGGATTAGAGCTGTACATGGTCTCTTTGGGTCTAATTTAACCATATTTTGGGCTCTGAAGTAAGACAATGTTCACCTTAAAACACCTAGCCACTGTCTTGTTAATGTTTAACTTCATGCCTGCATGATCCAATATTGCCAAAACCTTCTAAATTATACATGAAAAGTCAGTATTTTGCATGTTTAATATTATAATTTTATTTTTCTTTGCAGTAATCGAGTCAGTGAACCCTCGAAGTAGCTGGACAAGATGAAGCAGGTACATAATGTGTGTGATTATAGAACATGTGTCATCATCATTGACTAATGCATGCGGCATGCACCAGTAACTTTAGTCCAGATCACATCTAAGTCAGTAATGGATAAGTCTAAACTTAGTCTGTGAATGCCTAGAGCTCCAATGTTCTGCCTCTGTACCCTACTGGGTCCATGACTCTAGATGCTGGATGTTTCAGCCACATTGGAGACTCTTTGTGAATTTACCAGTTTATGTTTCCACAAAACTGGTAGTTAAAGCCAAAAATCGCCTGTGTATTGGCATTGAAAGTAATATAATGTTTTTAATGTGGACCGTTGCATGCAGGTTTAGTGTGAGTTCATACTCTGTTCATCCCATGTAGAATTTCATCTGACACCCCATGACGACGTGGTTAAACATTTACGATGTCAATACGCTGATTGATCCAATAAAGCCATTAACTATTCTTGAATGGGTCACATGTGGTTTTTGTACCGAAGATTTTAAAGGTGTCAGGTTGTTTTTTGCTACACAAGTTGGGTTAAAAAAAAGAGAGGAGAGAGGAAAAAAAGGTGATGTGTGGCCACCACGTTGACTTTTGTTTGAATGAGTCTTTACGGGGCATTGCCAAGGTGCTGCAGTCTTTGAAGGACAACTTAAAAATGTGCAAAGGATTTTCCAAAGCGAAATTACAAACAAATTACCAACACCACCTTAAAAAAAGTTCAAAATCAATTGTAGCTTTTGTTTTGCCTCCCAAACGTATTTCCCCAACTGTTTATGTGTTAAGTTAACTCAAATTTCTTAATAAGATCTGATCTGGCAATGAGTCTTACATATACTTGTTCTTTCACAGGTGTGTACTATTGGTGAGAAGAGATCATGTGAAGGCGAAAGGAGCTTGATTGGAGAGAGACGTTCAAGTGATGCTCTTAGGTTCACGTCTAACAATGACAGTGCAAGAAACGGAGAGCGCGCTCCTAAAGAAGGAGATAATACCCCACATAGTATGGATCGTTCAGAGAATGACACTGAGTTGTCTCCTGCCAGTAGAAACGATGAGCACTTGACGAAGAGCAAATGTGAGAAAATGCAAGCTGGAGACTGTGTAGCTGAACCCAAAAGCAAAGGCTGCGGTGTATTTGCTGCTCAGGAAACTCGTGGAGAGGAAGATCAGAGGCAAGCAGCGAAAGATAAGGCGTCAAGTGATGCAACGAGTTTGAACTCTGACAGTTCAGAGAAAACAGGAAACGCAAAAACGATGGACAAAACCGAACAAAAGGACTCGGCCAAAACGCGACGGTCCACCAGGCAAGCCAATCGCTCGAGCGTTGAGGCGCTGGAAGGTAAACCAGACCCCGAGGATCAACCTTCCTCCGAGTCAGACACAAAGGAAACTGTCAAAACACCATCACGGCGGGGCAGGAAAAAGGCGACGATCAGGAAACCAACACGCTCAAGTCTAAGGTCCCGTAAGAAAGTGCGGGAAACGAAGCCAAGGAGAGCAGTCAAAGGGAAGAAGGAACCCTCCAAAAAGCAAATCTGCTTGTATTGCAAACTGACTTTCACTCAACTTGCAAAGCATTTAGAGAAGAAGCACGCAGGGGAGGCGGACGTGGCCCACGCCTTAAACTTTCCACAAGGCTCCAGAGTCAGGCAGACCTTACTGGACCAGATTCGTAAAAAAGAAGATGAGGAGCCCAATTGCCAAGTTCTCAAAAGTGGAGATGGAGAAGAAGTCGCCGACAAGAAACAGGCAAATAATCCGACTGTGCCTGTTCGTGACTTCCTGCCTTGCCAGCATTGTTTTGCGTTTTATCGCAAAACCGACCTGTGGAGACACGAGCGGTCGTGCAAACTTCAAAAGGCAGATCAGAAAACCTCTGAAAACCCTAAGAGAACTAGGAATTGCACGGCGTCTTCCCAACTTCTTCCAATGTCTGAGTACCTAACCGGAAGCTGTGAGGAAATCATCCACATCATGCATCAGGATGACATCTCTAAGCACATCATGATCGACCCCCTTATTTGTAAATATGGCAACACCCTGTCTGTGAAGTACGACCACGATAAGTCTCAGTTTGCTTACATCGGCCAAAAGATGAGGGAGCTGGGCAGGTTTGTGCTCGCCGTGCATGAGCTCGACCAGAGCGTGAAGTACTTGCATGAAATATGTCAACCGTCCAGATTCGAATTGGCCGTGGAAGGGGTCAAAAAGGTCAGTGGCTTTGACCCCAGCTCTAGTAAGTTTAAAACCATTTCCCTGGTCTCAAAGATCGGCTACTCTTTGAAACGAGCTGCAGAGATCGCCTTCGGAGAGAGTCGCATGACAGAGGACAGCGAAACGGAAAGCGAGTTGAAGACGTTCATCCATCTGCTCGATACAAAATGGAGTGAGTGTTTTTCTCGTAAAACGCTTGCCCACTCTCTGAAACAAGAGATCAAGAAAGTGGAAGTAGACAAATCCACCGTAACGGAAGATTTGATCAAGCTTCACCGGTTTATTACCGGAGAGGAAGACGAGGCTAGAAAGGAGCTGAAGGACAGCCCCAGCATGTCGACGTGGAAAAAGCTCAGCGAAGCCACGCTAGCAGACGTGTGTCTCTTCAACAGAGGGAGGGTCGGAAACATCGGGAGGCTTCTCTTGCAAACTTACGTTCAAAGAAAAAGCAGGGGGACCTTTACACCCTCTGCGGACCATGTTAGGAAAAGCACTAAATTGGAGTTGGAACTTGGTTCCAGTTTCACGAGACTGGAGCTAGAAGGTCAGTATGGAAGGAACATGTTGGTGCTGCTAACGGAAAGGATGGTTTTATCCATTGACTTGCTCGTTGAACATAGAGAGCAAGCAGGAGTTTCAAAAACCAACCAGTACCTGTTTGCCAGAACTGAAGGTCCGTCCTTCATCAGAGGACTGGACTGTTTCCGAAGGGCTGCTGTGGAGTGTGGAGTTAAAAACCCAGATGCACTTTTGTCGTCGTCGCTACGGGAGCAGATTGCCAGCTGCTGGCAGCTGATGAGCCTAGGCGAGCCCGAACTCGACCAGGTGGCAAAGTTATTGGAAAGGAGCTGCCAGGAATGTTACGGGCTCTCGCAAAATGCCTCCCAGCTAGAGGAAGTGACCAAACAGCTGTTAAAAATCGATCGATCACTTCCATCAAGTCCACCCAGCACCGCAAAAAATGGTATGCACTCTTTCTTTCCTGTTGTATTGTTGTTCTCTTCTGTAAGTTTGGTCACAGATAGTCAGCACTTAAAGACTCCTTGGCTCATTATAAAGTTCAATTCAATGTTATTTATATAGCGCCAAAAAGAGCAGGTCAGACCCTACTCTGAAGTTAATTACAGAAACCCAACAATTCCCACCATGAGCAAGCACTAGGCGACCCAGGGAAGGAAAAACTTCCTTTTAACAGGCAGAAACCTGGAGCAGAACCATGGCTCAGGGTGGGCGGCCATCTGCCTCGGCCCGTTGGGGGTCAGAGAGAGAGATAGGGCAAGAGAAGGACAGAGGGAGCAGAGGGAGGCAGCCTACAGTAACACATATAATTGATAAAAAATGGCAATGATATTGATACTAATGATAATTATAGGAGTTATGACAGCAATAACACTATTCAGAGTAGTAGCAGAGTAGGAACATGGGGACAGCAGGAAACTCCCAACCACAGTCATTGATACTGCTGTATTCTTCTTATAGTGATTGTTCTCTTGTCTTTTCAGGGGCTGGACAGAAATCTGCTTTAAAGAGAAAACCGTGGAGCGCGATGGAGCAAGCTGCCGTGAAACGTTACTTGAGTGAATTCATCACGAAGATGAAAGTCCCTGGCAAGAAAGAATGCAACGCTTGCATAGCCGCCGAACCAGATCTCGGTGGGAGATCCTGGACGGACGTAAAAAACTACGTGCACAACACACTGCAAACGGTGCGTCGGAGAAACAACCACCATAAGCCCGAGAAGAATGGAAAAGCTTCTAACCCAAAGAGTCCAAAAGCTGCCGTCCAAACCCCAAAGGCTGAGGTGGAAGATACCATCGACGTGTGCACCATGACAACAGTGAACCCCGAGCACCTGAGCGAAAGCCCGGACTGCTGCATGGCGATGGGTCCAACGTCCAACCTGAACGACTCGTCGCCTTTCTCCCAGGAGATGGGTGCTAGTTACGCATCCCTGTGTTTTCCCAATACAGACATGGTCCATAGCAACCAGTCTTTGATGTCTACCTTCACACCGTTGAATGCGACTGACACTCAAGTGGTCCCTACGTTTACCCCGCTCAACACTACGACCGCCCTAATGCCTCCTGTCTATACGTCGGAAAACAACCAAAGTCTGTCAATCTCTTCTTTGTATACCCAGAATCCCACAAGTATGCTACCCCCGTCGCTGTATTCTCCACATGACGCTACAAATTCCCCACTGATCCCTTCCTTTACCACCTTCAATGCCCCGAGTACCTCGATGGTTCCTACATACACTCAGTTGAATACCCCCGGTGCACCGATGGTCTCCGCGTTCTCGACCCTGAACGACAGGAGTCCGCCCGCCATGTCCTCGTTCACGCCCCTGAACCACTCAAGTCCTCCACCTTATCACGCCAGCTCCCCCAGCATCCCCACGGCCGCCCAGGTGGTTCCTTCCATCCACGGGCCGCCGCGGGAGAGCTCCCCCGAGTCCTCAACGGGAAGGCAGGCGACTCCGGGCGGGAAGCCCCAGAAGAGGAACAAGAGGCTGTGGAACGAGGAGGAGCAGGCGGCCGTGAGGCGGCAGCTCGGAGACTTCTGCAAGCTGGTGAAGGTCCCGGGGAAAAAGGACTGCGACGCCTGTTTGGCGGCCGAGCCCGCGCTCGGCAGCAGGACGTGGAGGGAAGTCAAGTATTTCGTACACAACTCCATCCAGTCGCTGAAGAGAAGAGGACACGTGGTGGCCTGCAAACAGAGTTTACCCCCCGAACCGGAGGCCCTGACCCCCAACGCGGAGTGGGATGCTCCTGTGTATCTGTCCCTCTAGACGTTTTAACGGACGTGCACAAAAAAAAACTAGCGATTGGTGACGATTTTAGAAAGGCGTGGCTCTAAAGTCCAATTATGGAGACTCAGAAACTCAGACGTTTTGGTCTGTTGACTCTTCCTGGTCTCCGTTGCCACGTGGATGCCGACATTTACACACGGTCCTGCCATTTCTCAACCATACACATTTTAAAAGTGTGCCAATACTTTCAATAACCAGTCCAGATGATCAAGCTATTTATTGCATGAATATACTCTAAATGGATGGAAGTTAGGTTGTTTATGCCGTTGCTGTGGCTCAGAAAAAGCAGATTTGTGTTGCATATCGTACGCTTGTGTAGAACCCAGGTAATCGCAGACTTTCCCCCGGAAATGTTGTATTCAAACATTAATGGGAACATTCATGGCTTTCTTGGAATCCACCGGTAACTGAATCCCCCAGTCGAGTTTTCATGATCATGGCTGAATTGCTTGAAGAGGCTCAGTTACCAATAACCGAGCCCTTTGGTGGGTGGAGATGGCCTCAGTGACTGTGCACTCATTGTGGGAATTTTGCTTGGAAGCTCGCCTGCCGTTTTATGTTCTTTTCTCTGTAGCATTTTAGGAATTTGATGGGATAGAAAACCCTACCAGCAAAAAGTTTCAGCCAATCTCTCCGACGCGAGTGAGTTGAGTTGCTTTGCGTAACCCCAAAGTGTTGTTGCTGTAGCCAGTAGCCTTTATTGTAGGTAGCAGTAATGACAAACCTTCATTTCTGATGTTAGAGTGTCGTAGCCCTGTGTGTACATACCTGTAACCGAGCATGGGGACTATTTATTCCCCATTTAGGATCCAGTTGATGGCTGTCCTTTTTTTTGTTTTGTCTCTTTTTCAGCATGAGCACTATTAGATTTTCGTAACACTACAGCATTTGTTTAGAACTATTAGCATTTTGTTGTCTTTGACCCTGTTTGAGGTCAAAAGAAACCACACTACTTTTTTTGTTTCTTTTTAAACTACATGGATGTTGATTAATAATATCCAGTTCCCAAGCTCATATTGCCTTATTAAATGGTTTTTGTATTATGTACTACTTTCTTTTTACAGTTGATTTTATCAACTTTTTACTTATTGAGTAAGATCCTGATAGAATTTTCTAGTTAATCCAATTATTTAGGATTTTTTACTATTTTATTTCATAAGAAAGGCCTTTAACAAAGTGTTAGAAACCGTCAGGTTATAGGATGCTGAGTAAATGCACAGGACACCACACGGACCTGCTGTTTTTCAGAGTATGGACAGATGTTCAGCTTGCATTTCCATTGTTTCCCATTGAGTCCAGAGGACGCGCAGAGGCTCAGTCGTTGACCCAGACACGTCGACTTCACCCAGCATTTGATTAGAAAAGCAGAAGAAACCTTAGCGTGGTGCCGCCTTGACTTATTTTTGTATTTTCTGTTAGCTTGAAGCAAAAGAGGCGCCCGTCTCCGTCACATGTAGCAGTGTTCGTGCTAGCCTCTGTGGCTCCTGTAATTAAGCAGTGCTTGATAACCTAATAATATTCACCCGTTCATACCAAAGTCATTGGTGTCCGACTCGCGTTAAGTCAGATAACCTGTTTCACATCATTCCACTTATAGGAAAAACCCTTTTCCCACATCGCTGCTTGCAAAAGAGGGATATGTCTATGTTACAGCATATACTACACTTACAGATGGTCGTATATGGAATATACCTGTGTTTTTCTGTCAATGCAAAGCTACAGTTGGTTTTGTTTTCCCATTGAATAGTTTTATGGCTACTGTATAAGCACATATTGCTCTTCATTCTGTTTACTGTATGTTGCCTTCAGTCGATGCTTCCTATCAAATATTGTAAGGAAATGCTTGTACAATAAACTGCTTCTTGACTTAATTTCTGAATAGTTTGCCTTGAAAAAGATATGTAATAGTTTTTAGGAGTGTTGGATATTAAAGTTTGTCCAAAGGGGTCGGTATTTACTAGATTTATTTTTGCGATTTCGACACCTATAGGGGATCCATCCAGTTGTTTTGTTGTTTTTTCTTTGATAGAAAATCAGTCATTTGACTCTGTGAATTTTGAATGATAATTTGATCCTTTTTATAAAGGTTTTCGATCCTTTGGGTGGTAAATATTTCTTAATTTAGGAAATGCAGTATAGTTTACATGTAAAAGCTCATGATTTTACTACCTTGGGAAGAAGATACTTATCAGATTTGCAATCCACTTTGTTAACCAGACATTTTCTTTCCTCTTCCTCTCTTAATGCTTTTTTTAAAATCGTTTCCAGTTTGTTTTTTGTCCTCTCTCTTGGCTAGAAACATCCTAATGGGGTTCGGTGAGGAGCCTGTTGTTGTGCAGACGTTGTTCTTAAGCTGCAGCTCTGTGTCGGTTCGTCCACAGGACGTCAGCGGCATGTCTCTGTGCATGCTGGCGGCCGCGGGGGGGCAGGACGACATCCTCCGGCTGCTGATAAAGAAAGGGGTGAGGGTCAACGCCCGGCAGAAGAACGGCACCACGGCGCTGATGCACGCTGCAGAAAAGGTGATTCAGCTGCACCCCAAAATTAATCTAACATTAATGCAAACACTGGTTGCTAGGAATTGTAAATTGAATGCATTCTCATAGCTGGAACATACAAAAGGCTGTTTTTATATGTTACAAATACAGAATAACAGCTTTTTTTTTTACACCAAAGTTGTTTTGTTTTGTGTTTTTGCTTTCTTTGCCATCAGAATTTTCTGACAACTGTTGCAATCCTCCTGGAGGCGGGCTCCTACGTAAACGCTCAAACACTGGGGGGGGAAACTGCTCTGATGAAGGTAATACTGCATTTCTAAGATTCTTAAAACATAGATAGATAGATAGATAGATAGATAGATAGATAGATAGATAGATAGATAGATAGATAGATAGATAGATAGATAGATAGATTTGTGGGTGGGGGGAGGACCAGAGTCAAAAGTGACAGGTCATCGTTTTACTTTCCTTTAGGCTGTGTCAGGAACATGGCCGCCATCTTGAAAGCCACCATATTGGATTAATGCCAAGAAATCGATTGCCAAAATCAGATTTTCCATCTCTCTCGTGATAAGTGATCAGAGCTATCGGTTTTTGCTCTTATTTGATGTGCTACACGACCAGCTCCCCGTTAGGGAGAAACTCCCTCTTGATCCAACATGGCGGCTTTCAAGATGGCGGCCATGGTCCAGACGCAGCCTGAAAGATGGGCCCAGTCTCCCACTGAGGACGGGACTTCTGAATTTAAGCGGCACAGCCGCCGGTAAATGGGATTTATCTAATTCCCCTCGAAGTGTCTCGGTTTAAACGGGATTAAAGAGAAGCTCCAAAGCCTTCTGGAAGAGGAGGGATCCGGCATTAGGGAGGAGTTTCACAGAGCCGGGACCTCTGCGGTCAGGGTTAGGGTTAGGGTTAGGGTTAGGGTTAATGACGGTTTTTTGTTCTGCTTCCAGGCGTGCAAACGGGGGAACACGGACATCGTCCGCCTCCTGCTGGAGTACGGAGCCGACTGCAACACCACCTCCAAGCACAAGAACACCGCCCTGTACTTCGCCAAAGTCAGCAACAACCTGATGGTGTACGACCTCATCAAAGACCACATCAGCGTGTAAGTGCTAAAAAAACTAAACTAAACTAAAATTTTCAACTCGATACCGATACTCAGGAGAATATTCGATACTCGATACCATTTTCGATACCACAAGGATAAAAACAAAGACCCCAATATTTTACCTAATTTTGACAGGTTAGTGTCTTTTATTTCAAACTGACCAGTTACTGATTTTATCGTGACTGGTGGCCCGTATTAATGACCCAAATCCAAACCCTCCAGCCTTCATAATTGTGAGAAATAAATATTTTTTGGTTAAACTTGTTTGGACTTATTGTACAAACCTATTTGAAATCCACTTTTTTAACATAATATTATGGATAGAGTTTAATTCAGTGTTTGAAAGATAGATGATAGAAGATAGAAGAATTGATGTCTATATTGCCATGAGGCATTACCATTTGCTTGCCTGGGATCTTTGTATTGGTGACGTAATCAAAATGGCCGACTTGGATGTGGGCGGAGTTAGATATGTACTAATGGTAGCAAGTCATTATTATCCATTGGCCGCAGCTAGCAGTTCAAGGCTAACGTGTTGTTAATGATCATAAACAACGTAAATAAGTATCGTATCCGGATAAAACATTTTAGTATCGATACTTTTTTAAGTATCGACACTTTTGACAACCCTAGGTTCAGATGTAAAGTGTAAAGCCTCCATCTCTCAGGTTGTCCAGCGTGGCGGAGGACACCATCCGGGCGTACTTTGAGTCCCGCCTGGTGCTGCTGGAGCCCGTTTTCCCCCTGGCCTGCCACCGGCTGTGTGAGGGGCCCGACTTCTCCATGGAGTTCGGCTTCAAGTCGCAGCCCCAACCGGAGGGTAAAACACCTTTTCTAAGCCGAGCCATTTATCTAAATGTTTTAACCCCTCCCCACTCCTCACAAAGCAGAGATGGGACAATGTGAGTGGACGAAAGTGGACTTAAATCCTTAAAACTGCTCACTCTGGGGCCTTTTTGGAAACAGTCTCTGCTCTCATAGGAAGGGAAACTTTCATTTTATTGAACCTATCACTTCACGTGGACCATAACCTCCCAAACGATGGTCTTTTTTTAATTTTTTTATTTATTTTTGGTAAAGTCAAGTCAAGTCAAACTTTATTTATAGAGCACATTTAAAATAACCAAAGTTGCCAAAGTGCTGTACATAAAAAGCATGTATATGTGATTTTAATGTAAAAATAAATAAAAAGGTAAAAATGTGCTCTACCTCAACCTAAGGTTAAAATGTTAAAAGCCATGTCGAATAAATGGGTTTTTAAAGAGGACTTAAACACCTCTATGATCTGGGCAGATCTTATATTAAAAGGAAAGCTATTCCAGAAGCTTTGAGGCCACACTAAAGGCCCGATCGCCTTTAGGCCTCAGTCTTGTTTGCGGGACCACCAGCAGCAGCTGACTGGCTGATCTCAATGTTTTTATGGGATCATAAAAGTGCAGATTTTTGGTGGGGGAATTGCACTTTTCTCTAAAGGCCCCCCTGTCTCTGCGTGCTCCTCCAGGTTCGGGCATCCTGCTCTTCATCTTCCACGCCAACTTCCTGAACGACATCACGGCCAGGCTGTGCGGGCCCTGCAGCGTCCACGCCGTGGTGCTCAACGACAAGTTCCAGCTGCCCATTTTCCTGGTCGGTTTAAAGAAAAAACACCAAATTACAGAGAGGGCCACAAGCTAGCTCCTTAAAAAAGCTTTTACGACCGCCACTCCTCTCTTTAAAATCTAGCATAAGGGGGCTAAAATCATTTTCGGGTCGTTAAGTCTCGTGTCGATAATCCGTTGTAGCCAGTTTGCATTTTCTGGACCCGGTTTTATTCTGCGTTTGCAGAAAATTAGGTCAATAATCAGTGTGAGAATCCGTCAAAAAAGAGCCAGATTGATTCCACCGATTCCAGCGCTGTTCGGAACAATTTCTATTCTTCCAATTTATGCAGTGATTCATCCGAATGAGGTCATGCATACTGCTGCTTCCTTCGGGGGGTGGGGGGGGTGGGGGGGGCTGGGCTCAGCCTCACAGATGAGGGGAGGAGCTCCACCCTCCGGAGGGAGCTGGGATTAGAGCTGCAGCTCCTCCACACCCACCGGAGGAGGGGGGGGGGGGCTATGCCGTTTCCCACTGGGTACACTGGGACCCCCCCCCCTCCACCAGTAGGAGCCCCGGGATCCCCGCTTCCCTCCTGAACCAGAACAACCCAACTGAGATAAGCAGGAGAAAAAAGATGGAGGGATGTTTCCATGCTACAGCTACAAAATACTGACAGGAAATGAAATCAAATATCTGCTTTTGTTGGGATGATTGGTTAAAACCTCACCATGATTGATATGTTCTCATCAAGAAAAGGCAACAAAGACCTCATAAAAAGCTCCCCAAAAAAATCCCTTTAACTCATTGGCTGCCAAAGACGTCTATAGACGTCTTTTATGTTTTTCAACGAGAGTGGCTGGGGGACGATCTGCTAAAGCTTGTCCGTAAATATCAGGCTTCTAGACAGAGTATGTACTAACAAATTGACCCTCTAGGGGGCAGTGCCACTTTTGATGGGAGATGAGCATAGACTGTAGGCAAATAAGAAAAAGGTAACGGTTCGATTTGAGAGAACATGTCGCCGGTGAGACGCAAGTCGAGGAAGAACGGAATAAGGTAGAAACACATTTTTTTTCCTGATGAAAGAAGAGAGTCTACTCTTTCTTTTGGTGTGTTCATGTTTACATAGTCATAGCACAAACTATTCTGTGGCTCTTGAAAAATCAGTCAAAATGCTCAAAAAACTCTGGCAGTCAATGAGTTAAGGCCAATTTTGGTTTAATAAAACCTCATTATCTCACGGAAATCATTGAAAAGAAGTGGGTGACATAGTTTTGAGCTGTACCGACTTCTCTAATGCTGCGTTCAATGTTCAGTAAACTTGGTTTTTCTTAACCATCTTTTTGTCTTTTGCTCTCAACATTCCAGGACAGTCACTTCATCTACTCCTTCAACCCAATTCCAGGAATTAACAAACTCTTCATTCGGCTGGCAGAAGCACCGACGGCTAAGGTGACTCACAAATATACGCACGCACGTAATAAACATTTCAAATAGACATGGAAAGTCTAAAGGATTCCCCTTTTTACCCAACTTCAGATCAACTTTAAATTGATTTGGATGAGTCATTAAAGATTTTTTCATCCAGTGGGGTTTATAAATTTAAGACAGGAGCTTTGTTTTGAACATATATGATGAGCGTTTGGACCATATGAGTATTACTCATATTATACTAATGTACTATAGTAATACTTTTAGAGGCTGATGCCTCAGTTTGAGCATGAATATCCTCAAAGCGAGTTAAGGAGTTGAGAAGCAGAAACAGAAACAGTCATTCTGGCTTTCAGAAGAGCCTTTGTGGGCTCCTTGTGAAGGTAAACTCACTCTTTAGACTTAGACTTAGACTTAAACTTCCTTTATTGTAATTGTACAAAAAACACGAGGTGAATCTTGACAACCAAATGTCGATTACTTGGCTACCAGTGTGACAGAGCTAAGACCTTATTCCTACTTAATAAATATGTTTTCTATAACTAAGAGCTAGATATATACAGGGTAAGAGCATTTATATACAGTGGGGGAAATAAGTATTTGACCCCTTGCTGATTTTGCAGGTTTTCCCGCTTACAAAGAATGCAACGATCTATAACTTTAATTATATGTACATTTTAACAGTGAAAGACAGAATCCCAAAGAAAATTCCAGAAAATCACATCATATGAATTTATAAAAATTGATAACCATCTGATGAGGAAAAAATAAGCATTCTTTGTAAGTGGGCAAACCTGCAAAATCAGCAAAGGGGTCAAATACTTATTTCCCCCACTGTACATATTATTGCACAAAAGAAACCTCAATGAATATTGCACTGAGTTGATTGCAAAAAGAAACAATTGAGTTGAAGACAAAGCTAACTAAACTATATTTTGCTTGCAGGTGAAGCTCCTCATCTGTGCCTACAGAGTCCAGCTTCAGTGACCACCAGAGCAGTTGCCAGGTCAGAGGGACCTGGCAACCCCTCCCGGGGTTGCCTCTTCAGACTGAATCCCCCCTCTCCGTGCCTTTTTCTCCGACGTCCACCTCCCGGTTGTGGTGGATAAAACAGACTTGTGTTTCCATTACCGGCCTGACTCATGTGTGTTTTTTGGGGGGTTTCATGCCCGTTTCTCCCCATTTTTTGGAGCATTTTTTTGCTAGCTGATACCCACCACTGGTCCCAGACACTACACCTCTACCCTCTTTTTTTTGGATTCATCCTTCCATCCATCCGCCTCGTTTTCATGCACTCGTCTGAAGTCGTTTTAAAGCTGGGATTTTAAATCAATGAAGAACTTTCTGTTGCCTTACATTGCAAAAAAAAGTTGCTTTTTATATTTTTTCCGGCCTGTACATATTCACATACTATATATAAATATATGTGCATTTATAAAGTGTTGTGATGACTGCTGATGTTTTGTTTTTTTTTGTTTTTTTTGGGGGGGTGGCACTGTATGGGTGGGTTAAATTATTTTGAGTAGTAAAAAGCTCCAATGTTTAAGGGCTAAAATGTCTTCTTTTTTTGGTCTTTTTGGTTACTTAGGGGTGTCAGTCTGCCTCTGACTGAAGCAGATTTTGGATATTTTTACACAAACGCAACATGGAGGCAGTCGGTGCAGGGCTGCCAATTAAAATATGACTTGATGCTCTCCTTCCGTCTCCTCTGACAATCTTTTGTGTCAATATTTTTAATAACGAAGCGGAGATTCTCGGAAAAACAAGAAACGTCTTTGCCGTCTCCGACTCTCTGAATTCAGATTGCTTTTGGATTTATAACCGACCTCTAAAACAAAAAAACAAAAATTTAATCGTGGACATTGTTCCATTGTTCTGGTCTTTGTCTTTTATTGACTACAGTTTAATTTTAAAGCAATTCAAAAGTTGAATCACTGCTGTAATTATTGTGATGAAAATGTTGGATTAAAGGACAATTGCTCAAACTTTTGGGCGCCACGTGTCCCGGGAAGCAAAGGCTAGTGGAAACAAACATGTTCTTTATCTGTGATGCTTCTGCTGTCCGGCTGGTTCCGGTTTTTGGTGGAACGGGGTGAAAACGGCAGCAGGAGGAAGGGGTTGAGCGTTAAATCCCCGCTAATCGGTGAACACAAATGGCCACTCCACATGAGTGATGAGGCATTAACCCGAACCTCTGAGCACCAATCAGAGCTCATCCCAGCTGAGACGGACAGAATCCTTTAAAACGGCATCAAAAAAAGACGGGAAGCCAGATGTTTTTTTTCCTCCCATCTCTGGACTTCACCTTCCCTGTTGTGGGCTCCATCTTTCCTGATTTAAATATAGATAGATAGATAGATAGATAGATAGATAGATAGATAGATAGAGACACAGAAAGTATATCGAAAGTAAAATAGTTATTCAATTATGAATAAATAAATGGTGCTAAAAAGCATGTTCTGACAGATGGATGGATGGATGGATGATAGATAGATAGATAGATAGATAGATAGATAGATAGATAGATGGATGGATAGATAGATAGATAGATAGATAGATAGATAGATAGATAGATAGAT